ACAGTACAAGGTTCTTTTCACACCTAACATTATAAGCTTTCTCAAGCACCACTTAACTCATTGGGAAATTCTCTCCTTTTCCAAACAAGTTGGGTATTTTTACAACATTCACACTTACATTTTCTCCATCATTAATTCTAAACCCCACCCACCATGATGTTAAGTTTCAAATTTTCAAACCCATTTCCCTTATTCCTTGGCCAAAATCAGATACCCGTTTTCTCCCATCTCGTCGTCTGAATATGTTCCAAACTTTTGTTAAAGATAAAGCAATAAACAATCATCTCTTTCTTATTATTACAAGATGAACTTTTGGACAATCTTAATGATGAGGTTAAAAACTCAAAAGATGGGGTTTTAGATACCTTGAAAATCCTTAAGAATCCCTTGCAAAGGGAAAGATAATTAGGACAAAGAGCCCATATGGGACTTAAAACTAATCCTTGATCATCTTATGTAAGCAGTGTTTCTTTTTGGCCCTAGTGGCTTCCAGAGGGTACATAATACATCATATTATATTATAAAAATTTGCAATTATGCAAGGTAGGCCAGGAGGTGTGTTTCCCTTCTGCCTGTCCACCTTAATTTATTCCCCTATACCCCACACTATCTATCTTGATGCCTTTGCAAGATCTTAAAAGTGCCTTATATTATTATTTTTAGTTCTCTCTCTCAATGCACAAGTATGTATGTATTCTAAATTATCATCCTAATAAATTTTTTAATGTTTAATTGCTGTCCATCCATTTTTACAATATTGTATGAGGGAAGAAATATGTGCCTGCGATTATTTTAAACTCAGTCAGATTTGATGTGTGTGTTTCAAACTTTTGGTTCCTTGCTTAATGCATTGATTCTTACTCAAACCTTTAGTATTCTATTCTTGATTAAGATTAGAATATCTCTAGTCTCTATAGATACCTCAAATATTCTAACCAGCTTTTGTAAAGTAGCAAGAAATTTAATACTCTATATGAGGGACAAAATAAGTAAAAGCTTGTAATTTCAAAATTATGTAGTGGTTTTTTTGGCATTCATTAGGGCTGAAAAGTAAGATATACAATTCTAAACAAGACATTTGTATAGTAATTAACAACTCTCTTAGGAGTTAAAAAGTTTCATATTCAAATTTACCTTAATTTAATTAACAATACTATTAAAAAGAGAGAAAAGGAGGTACAGTTGAAACAATATATTTTGAATATTTAAGTAGTAGAGATTTGACTTGAACATATGAGGATGATATTGAAATGATTAGAAAAGTTGGTTATTAGCCACCAAGACAGCACAATTAACACAAAAATGCTAATGAGTTAGCATTTTTCTTTGAGACTATGTCACCCAAAACATGATCAAGAAAAGATCTAATCCCTTGTTGGTTTGCTTTCTTGCATGCCTTGCCCCCCAACATCAAGTGGTACCTTTGAAAAAACAAAACCGAGAAAAAAAAATAAAAGTTTTAAGGTTTGTATGAAAGGAGGAACAGGAACATGTGGTCAAACCCCTGTTTGATTCTACATATGTTTGTCTCTTTAAGATAAGAGTTCCCAATGTAAGAAAAAGGGTCAATAATCCCTATACTCCCCCTTTCTAATTTATTCTAATGAATCATCATCATTATTAATGATCCCTTTAGCCTTTCTTTGTCAGCAATTAGTCATGTCCTAATTAAACACTAAACATGATTAACAAAATGGGCTCCACTACTAACCCTTTTAATTATATATATTTCCTCTCCATTAGTGTCACATATGTTCCTCAAATTTTATATATCCCAATTTTTTTAACAATACAATGAGACATCAAATCTTAGTTTGTTAGAGGATTAGTATTACTAGCAACCAAAAAAATACCAAATTCAAGTGTTGCTTTCAACGTTGAATTAGATTTTAGTGTTAAAAATGCATGATTTTATGGCATATACCTAAAAGGGTTGGCGTGATCCAAACAAAACAACCTTAGGGAAAGGAAAAATATTCTGTTTATCTTCAATTAGTACAGTCCAAGAGTAAAGATGTATTTTCAATTGTTTTTGAATAAATTAATGAAAGATTCGTTTGTACCAAATTGCTTAGGACTCAAGCTATTCAAAAAAGCACAGCGCCCTAACCCCTTTTGAGGTTGGATAACCTAACCTGCGTTGGGATATGCAAAATTCAAACTAAGCGATTTGGACAAAGCCTCACCTCAATTATATATCCAATTAGTACAATCAATTATCTACTTCAAAACCCACTGCTTTTTCAATACATTTCAGGTACATGGGTATATGAAATCCAACACACTATACTCTTAAATTAATTACACAATTCTCTTTCCACATGACTTGACTATGCATCCTGTGTATCTCTCATCTAAAAAAACCAAAAAGATAAGTTTGAATTCTTCTCTTAATATAAAATAAACAACAATTCATAATTTTTGTCCATATATTCATTCATAGGCTTTCCTGATAAAGATTTAGTCCAAATTGTTACATAATATCATCTTTATCAATAAATATTGTTAATACTGCCAATATGAAACCAATGCTCAATAAAAAAATTCACATCTTACTTAAAGTCATTATTTTACAATTTAGTTTTTTTCTTTCTTTCTTTTTGTGAAATGGGTTTCTTTTACATAAAATTGGGCTGATGGAGAAAATTGGTCCCAGAGATTGACATTGAAGATGGGCTAAAGCTTTGGTCAATGTTAAATTTTATTTTAGTTTTAATAATTAAAAAAAAAAAAGTTGGGATGAATTATGAATGGGAGGGGAGAAGCGAGCCAGTTGAGTTTTGAGCCGGAGCGGTGGTCAAGAGAAAACGCGCCGCTGAGCTGGGAGCTGGGGGCTGAGGCGGAGATGGGGACGACGAAATCTAGGAGGGAAGAATGGGTGGACCCCACAAATCTAAGAGGTGAGCTGTTGCTTTTTTGACGTCTATTGCTTTCTCTTTCCATTTTCTCTCTCTTTATAACTCTGCAGTCTTCCCAGGAAGATATCTTCCACAGCTTTACCGCTCCAATTTTTTTTTTTTTTTTTTCTTATTTATACTCGAAAATAATAGAAAAATGCTAGTAATCTTTCACAATTAATTTGGAAATCAGATAATTAATTTCGAGAGGGTCAAGATGAAAAATATATAACTAAATCACGAAGGTGGCTTTAATGGAAAAAGTAGCTTTAGTTCTTGCTTTGTTAAATAGACTTTTGATAATTTGATTTCTCACCTAAAAAGAAGTTTGATTTATAGTGAAAATTACAAG